GAATACATAGTGCTCCAGGAATATTCCAGGGAGATATAACGAATAATAGTGTCACCTGCAACTTATCATAGAGCTGTCATTCCTACATTATTAGTTATTGGTAACACAAAGCACATTATAGCTGCAACCTGTGCAGTGAGTATGGAAGCAAGTTGAGTTACTGGAAATTTTACACTGTCTCTTTATGAAGTTATAACTGTAATCTTAATGCTAATAGTTCTTTTAAGTATGTATGTGTGTGTGCATGTGTATTCATTGTATTATGTCTGCTTTTATAATCTGTGTAATAAATCCACTGAGTTTGCTAGCCCTTTTTCAAATATATAATCTGTGGGAAAAGTAAGGAATTTTATGTGGAAGAATGAAGGGTGCTAGCAGCTCAGAGGAGAATTGGGGTGGATATATTTTTATTAAATAGGAATCAGAGGGAAACCTTATCAATGTCCATTGTGAGAATGAGGAAAACTGCAGTATGACTGAAGGAGGAAGAGCATACTATCCTGAACCCTACCGACCTTGTTGCCTGCTGCTGGGGCAGGCTAACTATTTCAGGGCATAAACTCATTCTGCTTCCTTCCCTTGTTCAGCTCTTTATTCACATATATTTATAGAGCTGAGGAAGTAGGGAGAGAAACTATCTGAGAGAATCTAACTGGTTATGCATATAAATGCAGAAGACTGACTATTTTGAATGTGGCTGCTGTACCACCTGGTACTTAGTACTGTCTTTGTAGGTGGATTCTACCTTCAAGGAAAAAAGCCAGTAGAAGGTTACATTGTACTTCTTAGGCTGCATGTTAAGATGTTGATGCGTAATTTTAGTGGTCATAGGACGTTCAAATTAATGTATGTATGAGGGACTGTTTCCCTTCTAGTTCCTTTCTTTGAAATAGGCAATATAAAAGATTAGATAAGCAAAGAAGCTCTTGTTTGTGCCTTATTAAAATCAGTCATCTATCCTCCTCTGAGCAGAACAGAACTGGGGAACAATACTTCTTACAGATCTTCTTGGATTATATATGTTCTTCCTGAAAGCCCCTATTACTCTTCCCACCCCAGGCAGCAGAGGTGCATTTGAACTGCCTCCTGGGTAAGGTCTTTGGCCCATGTTAACTCCCAATGTTCCACTCAGGCATAGTCTAGACAGTTTTAGTTTTTCCAAGCTAAGCCAAAATGGGATTCACCGTGTCGGAGAGCAAGCTATATAGCATGGATGACCATGTAGTTTACTAATAGGAATTAGTCTTGAGGTCTGCTGTGGCCTTTTAGAAATAAATCACTGTTCTTCTGGCCACTCAGAATCTGCTTCTAGTGAGGCAAGAAATCAACTGTCATGTTCAGTGCTTTGTTGACTGGGGTCCAGTTCCAGCAGGATGTTTTGCTAATGAGTTATGAAAATTACACTGGCTGTGATGGCAACTGCAAGTAAGAAAAGAAACTAGTAAGGTCAGAGAAAGGAAGATGTTCCAAAATCGGGAAAAGTCCCTGAATATGGGAAGAAGCACGACTCTTTAAAGATGGGAAGCCTCCTGTGCGCAACACAAAAGGTAGAGAGAATTGGAAAGTTCAGGAGAAGTAAGAATGAAATTGAAATCTACAAAGTCAGCAAATGGATAAGAAGTTCTGCAAATGATAGACACAAATCTAGAAACTGGCGTATCTCAGTTTTGGCATAATTATCTTGAGATACTTTGGGCTTGAATTTTCTGAGAAAATGATGCATATACATAATTTCATGGCAGTTGCATGTAAGAATTTTTTTTGCATTGTGTTTGTCTCGACATTTATGACTTCCTGGCCTCAGCATCCTATCTCTGGGAAGACTGAGATTTCAATTCCAGGTGTTTTATCTCCACATAATTTATGAATTCTTGGTGTTTGCATCCTATATCTGGGAAGACTGTGATACCAGCTCCATGTGTTTTATCTCCATACAACTTACGATTTCTTGGCCTTGGCATCCTTTCTCTGGGAAGACTGGGATATCAGTTTGAGGTGTGTTATCTCTGCACAATGTACGACTTCCTGGGAAGATCAGCTCGAGACCCTAACAATGCTCAGCAGTGCCTGGCAGTGGAGTGGAGGGGAAGAGGAGTACCAAAGCAAAAAACTTGAAGAAAGGGAGAGGACTCTTCAAGAACTAGGACAATAAAATGACTATGTATTCCTCCCCCATGGAGAGGAGCTTATTCTTCTTCTTAGCTCTCTTCTGAGAGATCAACACTTGCAGTGAGGCAGAGCCGGTGAAGTGTAGCTGAACTGGTGGTGGTAACTAATCTTGCTGCATCTGTCCTGCTTGCTTGCTTATATTTCTTCTTTTTCTTTTTCTTTTTCTTTTTCTTTTTCTTTTTCTTTTTCTTTTTCTTTTTCTTTTTCTTTTTCTTTTTCTTTTTCTTTTTCTTTTTCTTNTTTTTCTTTTTCTTTTTCTTTTTCTTTTTCTTTTTCTTTTTCTTTTTCTTTTTCTTTTTCTTTTTCTTTTTCTTCTTTTTCTTCTCTCTGTCCTATCATCATTATGAGAACAGAGCTTATAAGGTTGTACGGCATTTGACCCCATTTGTGTCTTAATCTTGCTTTTAGGATCGTATTGTAACCTCCCCTCACAGTGGATTGGGACACTGTAGTGCTGAGCAAAAGAAATCTAAAGGGAATTTAGAGGGTGACTGGATTGCCTAAAAGACAGACACACAAACTAATACCTGAATACAGGTACTGGAGGTGTAAACAAAGCCATTACTTTAGCGCAAAGCTTAGCAGCACATCTAGCTGGGACTAGTTATGGGGTTTTGGTCTCAGATGTAGCAGTCAAGTCAAGCACAATACTCTACAGAGAGTATTGCGATATTGCGGCATTGCTTACTGGAATATTGCTTTGTGAATAATGTCCTGTCCCTCCCTGGCATCTCTCAATCCTTCCTACCTTTCTTCTTTTGCTTTGCAAATTACTTACCATTGTGAGATTCTGGTCCAGCCAGATCAACACAGAGGCAGAATGGTGACAGCTGACATAGTCTCTTAATATAGAAGTGTGAGGTATGGCTGCATGGGGAGTATAGCATGGATTGATTTTGGAGCAGGCTGTGTGTGAAAAATGTTTTGCTTACATGTGGCAAAGGCTTGTGAGACTGATACCATGTCTGAGGTGTGGAGTAAGTACCCAGATGGAAATACAGAAATTTCCTAAGGTGTTTCAGGAGCAACCACAATGCATAGCAGCCTGGGTGCCTAAAGTGAGGTGGTCTGTGGTGATAATTGAGCAGAGTGGGAAGGCATGGCTGGATGAGGCTGCAGGTTGTGAGGTACCTGAACTGGCTTTAACACTGAACACTGAACATCAGAGCTGTGATAGCATGGAGCTCCTGTATGTGCTAGAAAATCATCTTGTGAACCCATGTGGAGCTCCCTACTGCCTCTGCTGTGCTGTTAGCAGCACTCGGAACTGGCTTATTCAAATGTAGCGCAGGATGGGCTGAATCACAGCAGTGGTTTCAGTATAGACATGCCCTTTATCCTCTTAAAAATGTCTTGAGTTTTTCCATCCCCCTGAAAAGCTATTTTTTAAAGAATTTCTCAATAGTTATCCATGTGAATGAATAAATTATAATAATGATTCAAATAATCCTGTGAATGAATAATTCATTGTAATAATTGAAAAGGAATTTTGGTCAAAAGTATCATACTAATACAAACTTTTATGGAAGATACAATATTTCATTATAAAAAGATCTTTTTAATGTGGTTGCCATTTCCTAAATAGGCATAACAGAAAAGAAAAATATGCTTCCCTGTGCAACAGCTATCTTCACATAAATAAAAGATATGTTTCTTTGTACAAGAGCTATCTTCAATGCTAATAACTGAGGAAGGAGAAAAGGAGCAATCATCATTTGAATTACATTCACCTCCTTCCTGAGGACAGAGCCAAAGGAGGCAGCCCTAATGAGCTGTTCTAAATGTCCTAAACCTGAAGTAACTGAACACTGCCAGCTTAGTTAGACAGGCACCAGGAGAGGTTAATTATATTTAGCACTGACACCGGACTTTCCAAGAAAAAAATAGAATTTTCCTTGGGAAGGAAGAAAGCAGCATCACTCATTAGCTCCATTTGCAAAGAGGGAGAAAGTATACTGCCATATTCTTTCTGCTGCTGAGTGTAATACGGATGAAGCAATCTACAGGTTATGCCCAAGGCAGAAAGATTGGAAGTCTGATTGCCTGTGAAATGCAGTGCTGCGTTCCAGGAACAGGGTTCTGACTGTGTGTTGGTAAACAAACAAAATCAATCAACCAATCAAACAAACAAACAAAAGGAGTAAATTCCCCTGTTTGATAACTAGGTACAGAAGAAAACCCTACCACCTTAATGAGAATAAAGGGTGTTTATCTTTCTCCAGTTGCATTGTTCACTATGAGATAAGCTGTTTCCATCCGTGCATGGTCAGACACCACTGACGACCTCGGAGCCGTGGGAGTCGCAGGCATCAAGCGACATGCTCAAGGTCAACTAGCGCCCGCCCGAGGGGCTGGGGTGAGGCGGGGCGCAGCTGTCTTGGAGCACGTCGGCAGGTGCGCGGGGGTGCCTGTTTCTGTCTATAGCTGCGGGTATCTGTGCTCGAGCGTGCAAGCGTCTGTGTCCTCGTGGGTCTGTGCGCCTCCATCTCTCTCTGCATACCGTGTGTGTCTGTGCTCGTACCTCAGCCTCTCCGCCCCTCCCCCGCCCCCCGCCCTTCTCGCGTGTGTGCGCGCCTGGGAGGGCAGAGCCAGGCACGCCGAGCGGCAGCGCCGGGCCCCACCGCGGGGCGCAACGAGCCGGAGCCGGAGCCGGAGCCGAGCGAGAGTCACCCCAGGCCGGGAGCAGCGCGGAGCCGGCGCGGACGCAACAGGCGGGGCTCGGGGCGGCTGGCGGCGGCTGCCAGTCGGATGGCGGCGCGTGTCACCATCGCCTCCTGAGGCAGGGGCGCGCGTGCCAGGCTCTCCAGCGAGTGGCGGCAGCGCGGGGCGACATGCGGGCCGAAGAGACGCTGGCGCTGGCGGCCGCGCGGGCGGGTGGCGGCGGCCAAGGGGAAGTGGACGCGGCAGGCGAGGAGCGGAGCAGCGGCAACTGCTGCAGCAGCGAGCGACTGGTGATCAACATCTCAGGGCTGCGCTTTGAGACCCAGCTACGGACCCTCTCCATCTTCCCCGACACTCTGCTGGGGGATCCGAGCCGCCGGGTGCGCTACTTTGACCCTCTCCGCAATGAGTACTTCTTTGATCGAAACAGGCCCAGCTTTGATGCCATCCTCTACTACTACCAGTCGGGGGGGCGGCTCCGCAGACCAGTCCATGTGCCCCTGGATGTTTTCCTGGAGGAGATACGCTTCTACCAGCTGGGTCAGGAGGCCATTGAGACCTTCCGGGAGGACGAGGGCTTCATCCAAGAGGAGGAGAAGCCTCTGCCACAACATCACTTCCAGCGTCAGGTCTGGTTGCTCTTTGAGTACCCCGAGAGCTCGGGGCCAGCACGGGCCATTGCCATCGTCTCTGTGCTGGTGATCCTCATTTCCATTGTCATCTTCTGCCTGGAGACCCTGCCTGAGTTTCGCCAGGAACCCAAGGGTACCCAGCATGGCTTTGGGGAGGCGGCACCCCCCAGTGATGATGCACTGCTCCTTCTGCCACCACTACCACTACCAACTGGGACCCCATCACCACTGCACCCTGCTGCTGGTGCTGGCCCCTTCTTTACTGATCCCTTCTTCCTCATTGAAACCCTGTGTATCATTTGGTTCTCCTTTGAGCTCCTTGTTCGCTTCTTTGCCTGCCCTAGCAAGCCTGAGTTCTCCCGCAACATCATGAACATCATTGACATTGTGGCCATCATTCCCTACTTCATCACTTTGGGCACTGAGCTGGCCCAACAGCAGCAGCAGAAGCAACAGCCCGGAAGTAGCAGCAGCAATGGGGGCCAACAGCAAGCCATGTCTTTGGCCATCCTCAGGGTCATCCGCTTGGTAAGGGTCTTCAGGATTTTCAAGCTCTCCAGGCACTCCAAGGGGCTGCAGATCTTGGGGAAGACTCTCCAGGCCAGCATGAGGGAACTAGGCCTCCTCATTTTCTTCCTCTTCATTGGGGTGATCCTCTTCTCCAGTGCTGTCTACTTTGCAGAGACTGATGACCCTGACTCTCTGTTCACGAGCATCCCTGATGCTTTTTGGTGGGCAGTGGTATCCATGACTACTGTGGGCTATGGGGACATGTATCCCATGACAATTGGTGGCAAGATTGTGGGCTCTTTGTGTGCCATTGCAGGCGTGCTTACCATAGCCCTGCCTGTACCTGTTATTGTATCCAACTTCAACTACTTCTACCACCGTGAGACTGATCATGAAGAGCAGTGCCAGTACACCCATGTCACCTGTGGCCAGCAGCAGTCCCCCTTCTCTGAACCCAAAAAAGGGGACAGTAACCCGTCTCTCAGTAAATCTGAATTCCTGGAAGCAGAAGACCTGGAGCCCGTGAAATATTCCAATTTTATTACTCCAAACAACCAGGGTTATAAAGAGAAGAAAATGCTGACAGAGGTGTGATCAATTTTGTTATCCTGGGTCCAGATACAGACCTGCAAGCTGCTGCACAGTTGTTTTTCCCAGTAGCAGCTGGATCTATTCAGCATTTACATGCCAGACTGTGAATTGTAATACCATAAACAGAATGATTGTGATAGTGGTCTTATCCTGATTTGCTGTGTTTCATTACCTTGTGGCATTGGAAATGTTCTTTGTTTATTGTGTGGAGTGCTAGATGTCATCCCCCACTCCCTCATGGATTTCTTCTTTTTCTGAAGACTGCTTTAATCGAATATTAACTCTGGAGGCTAACCTTCTTAGTCCCCTGGCAAAGAAGCAGTTCTTGCCACAACTTCAGCTGATGGATTAGGCATGGAATAAACAGTTAAAGGGGCTACAAACATCTGTCTGAAGCCCTGCCCTTAGTTCCTGTGCCAGCTCGGTGCCCTTGGCTGCGATCACTCATGCCTGCCGTGCCATTAACTCTGAATAATGGAAACACTATAGTGTCACAGTGAGTTCTGCAGCTGTAGAAGAAAGACAGCAGATGCCTTTGTCCTTTGCTACCCTTGGCATTCTAAAGATCTGTGGGGTTGTATTTTGGAAAAGATGCACAGATCTAAAATCTTGAAACTGCTTGTGACCAGGTATTGTATTTCAAAAGCAGGCTTAAAAATCAACAGGCTTGGTGATGATTCTCTGTTTTTCAGTCTTATTTATGTCAGGGCCCTGAAGTTAATTTGCTGTTATAATACCAACTTAATCTTCAAAGTGATAAGTGGCTTCTGATGCAAGACACATTTGAGAAATGTAGTTTATCTCCATAATTTATCTCTTCATGATAGTGTTTAATGAGATATACTTTATACTTCAGGTGTCTAATTCTATATGTGAGAACAATAAAAACCAGTGGAGTCTAACTGAAAGGTTTGTATAGCTGAGAGAAGTTTGTATGTTGGTATAATTCCATTATGAAATACTTCAACTACAGACAGTTGTACCTATACTGAAGATTGCACTGGTGTAACTGGCTGCAGACCTAAATTGCCCCAGGATAAGCATGCTAGTATTAGAGGTATATATCAGCACTGAACAAACATTCCAAAGCCATCTGCACAAGCCCAACAGCATATCCCAGATCTTTCAAATGAGGGAAGGAAAGTGTTAACCTTGATGAGATACTTTTCTTTGATCTAGCCAGTTCTGTACATTTTTTAGACAAAAGGCACAGCAATGTTCTTTGCATGCAATAGGTATTCATGAGGACAACTCATGCTTCCAATGTTAAATGCAAACCTTGGCCTAAAATGTGAAGCTTGTCAAGAGGCCACAGACAGGCATCTTAAGATGCATATTCTCCTTCCCAGGACATTGCATTCTTTATTCAGTTCTGTCTTATACCTGAATTTAAAATGTTTCAGATGCTGCCAGTGAGTCAGAAGGGGAAATGGATGCTTTCAGACTCTATTGGTAAATTTTACTTCAAGGAAACGTCTTTTTGTGTTCTTTATCTAAGTGTATATTCTGCTTGCACATATGCTTATGTGTACAAAAGCAAAGGCAGCCATTATTGCCTTACATCATACTGTATATGTGTATTAGTGTATTACATATTGCATGTGACACATGTAACCCTGTAACACATAAAATAGACCTAATATCAAGGTGCAAAATATATAGAATACATTTTATGTATATGTATATATTATGCCTTTCAATCATTAAGGTAAGAGTGCTAAAGGAATGTCCTTTCATATGATCAGAACTAGCAGGCTTATGAGATGGGATCTCTTTGCATATTTGCTACTCCGCTTGTTTTTGTTGCCCTGAGACCTGGCTCCAAGCCTAGAGGGCTTTTATTGTGGTTCTTCTCATCAGGGTTGTGATCACATGGTAGAAGTTGTTTGTGCAAATCCTAACTGTTGCATTTCTCCAGAGTCCCTTTGTCTTCTCAAAGGCTTTTGAATGCACAGGGATTCTCCTGGGGTCAGTGCACAGCCTTTATATCGAAACCTTTGTTTTCTGCTTTCTGAAGTCTGTAGCAACTGTAGCAAAACACCACTTTTCTTGGTTACTGCAAGACAGTGTGGGAAACCCATGAGTAGAGTGTAGTGGGGGCTCAGGACTGGCAGAAGCTTGCAGGGCCACCTCTGTAGAGGTACATAAGGGCCTAATTCCTTTTTGGTACATTGGGAATGAGGCAAATGTCTGGAAGGGTCAAAACTCTGAGACTTGTTCTGTAGCCCATAAAGCAAGCAACCTCTGGGAAAGTAATCCTGTTAATGAGTCTCAAGAAGAATATACAAGGTGGGTTCTCTGGCAATCTTGTGTAAAAAATTGTTTTCTCTCTCATTTAATTCAGTAAAAAGATATTTTTAGCTGTGTTTCAGAGTCATGGTAGTGAAATCTGTGTGTGTGTGTGTGTGCGCGTGCGCAAGAGAGTGACTTTTCTTTAACTTTTATGTGAATGCATTTTTGGGTTATTTTATTCTTGAGCATATCAGCTGATAAAATTTCCCCAAACTAGGATATAAAAAACTCAGGTTAAGCGTAAGTTCAGGAAGAGGCATGAAGCACACTGAACACACTGAACCTACGTCAGAACATTCCTATGTTTGTTTTTTTCACTTGGGCCTGACCCCATTACTCCTACCAGGCAGTATCCTTCCCTTCCAAAAAAAGGTTGTTCTCCTGACCAGCATGACAAATGACCAAAAAAAAAAAAAAAAAAAAAAAAAAAAGAGAGAAATGACTGGAAGCACGACTGCAGCATCTTTTGTAAAGAGATTTCATGCTATCAGGTGAAATTCAGCAGTGAGGTTCTAGCTGCAGTGTTTGTGTCTTTAAAAGTCGCTACACACATGCGTGCACACAGTACTGGTATGAAGGAACTTTATTATAAATAAGGAGCTTTATACAGTTTTTGCAATTCACAGTACTGAAAGTTATGTATCTTCATTTACACATTAAACAGGAGTGAACTTTGTTCTTAGGGTTTTCTATGTTAGAGCTAAGAGAAATACAAAAGCAAACAGAAGCTCAGAAATGCTAACCTAGAGGCTTCCATATAGACATGTAAATACCTTCCTAAAAATTTCCTTAACAGCAGAACAGTGAAATCACATGGGCTTCACAAATACTAGGGACTACTGCAGTTCTGCAATTTGGCAGTTTTATTAAGAGGCTTCAGATTTCTGTTTTTAAAAACTGAGGTGATCAGGAGCACACTATGTCACTAACTTTACATAGGAATGGTGTCCCCAAATCACACAGGTGCTTTTAAAAATCTCACTTCAAATTGTCAATTCTTTGCCCTCGCTCTGGATGTTTGAAGTACAAAATTGTCTATCTTGTCAAGCTGTTTCCTTCTTAAGGCAGAGCAGATCTTTGGGAAGCGAAATAGGCTTCTCTCGGGACTTGTTTCCATAGCAACCTCCCAGACTGTTTCTCTGTTCCTTGTGACTTTGACTACAAGCAAAAACACTAACTGAACAATTTCAGTCCTCAGATATGAGTATCTCATTTTTGCTTACTGAAGAAGATCCCATCATGTGTCATGTACAATCGCCCTATCCACGTCAAGACTATTACTAGCATTGGAAAATAGACATGCAAACCAGGAGATGGGAAAGAAAGAAGAGATACAAGAAGAGAAGTGGAAATTGTGTGAAAGAGTTCTGAGCACTCAAAGTCAAGGAGTTGGGAGGAAAACATACCTCTGAATTTGGAGTCATATGAGTAGCCAGTGACAAGAAGTATGAACTAAAGCATCTCATTATTAAAAGCAAAGAAAACAAAACAAACAAACAAACAAAAAAAACCCCAAAAGCAGAAACGCCTCTTTCACTAAATTTGTGAAGAGATAAGGTCTTGATGTGAAAGAAAATTCTTTGCTGTTATCCTGTGACCATCAATTCACCAAATTGTTTCCCCGCAGGAGTTATGCACCAAATTGGTACAGGGCAGAAACCATCTTGCTGGAGATGAGGAAAGAAAAAATGGAATAATTTTCTTGAGGATAAATTTATCCAAGGCTCATTAACTACATGAAAGACTGTGAAAAGCACAAAGAGACTTTTTGCAGTCTTTCAAAGTCTACCTTAAGAATGGGTTCCTGTACGTACTTCCAAGATGAAACTTCTGCTCTATTCCTGTTTGGAAAATGCTGAAATTTGGCATTTTTGAACAATATTCCAATTGATTTCCTCCTATGTCAGCTGTGGAAGTGGAAGTGACTGGACTTAATGTTCTCTCTGAGGCCCATCCATTCAGTGTACAAATACACCTAAGGAAATAAAGAAGAATTAGTACAAATGAAATTCAGGACAGCAAGAGACAGGATGTGTTATTTAAGTGTCTTCCATACTATGGTGGAAAAAGTAACGTCGTCCCTCAAAGCAAAAGAACAGACAGCCCCAGCATCTGCTGTTACAGCAGAATTAGGTAAGGTTTCTTTTCTGTCTGTGAAACTAACGACTAAGAGTTTCTTGCAATTAATGAGAAAGGATTTCCTAATTAAGGAGCCTGGAGGAAGAATTTTGTTCTAGATAAAAAAAAAAAGGGAGAAAACTAGTTATAAATTACAGAATTACACCATGGGCTACATCCTCCCCATTTGCTGATGTAAATTGCTCAACTCTATTTAGTTAAACTACCTTGGTTTATGTTGGGGTCCAACTTAAGTCATATTCACCAAGTCAAAACTTAGGTGCTGTTTGTTATGCCTATTTCTTTTGTTTATTTTTCTCTTCAGGTCCTGTTTACATCAGGGAGAGATACATAGGTTACAGCAAGAGTCAGCCACAGCTTTTCCAAAACCTATCATCATCTGCATTGAGCCCAAGTAGATCTACTGAATGGAGTTAGGATTTCTTTTTAGGTTTGTATTAGTAAGAATAAGAACATCAGCATATTTATTTATGCAATACTGAAAATGGGCAAACCAATTCACAAAGAAGACTAAAGAGACTATAGAGAAGATTTTGCCCTGTAGAGAAGATCATAGCCATATAAATACAGAAATCTCTCTTTACATTATTGTAGCTGGAATCACTCACTCACTCACTCACTCACTCACTCACTCACTCACTCACTCACTCACTTTGTCTTCACTCTGTGAAGCTCATAGTACAGAGAAACCTTGTTCTGAAATACTTGTATCCTTAATCACCAGCAAGTGCATAGTAGAATACTTGACTTGCAGTCATCGGCAATGTACATAAAGTTTAGGAGGGGAGTAGATGTTTGCAAATTTTAAAGTCTTAATCCTCTAATAAAATGAACAGTGAATGCTGTGAGTGTTTTCAGCTACCACAAGACAATTGGTGATGAAATTGCTTGAAAAGTGCAAGAAGGAGATCAGTAAATATGAAGGATAAGGTTCCAGATATGGCAATGTAAGCAATTCTTTCTTTGGCTTCACTTGCACTAAACATGTATAAAGGTGTTTACTCAGTAGGATAAAGTTTTGGAGAATCATTAATCAAAAAGTTCCAAAAACTGATATTTAACTGATATTTATAGCCCAAGTATGTTAAAAGAAAATTGGAGTCCAGATTCTGATCTTTGCTTGAGGTTAGGCAGATGTATCCTTAAGGATATGAATGATGCTGTTTCTAGTTAAGTAACTGTGAGAAAAAAATCAGACCCAAAGTCACTATATACTTAGTATATATGTGAAAAGAGAATGCAGCTATCTTGAGGTGTTGCGAATATGCACAGGTGCACTCTCTTAAAAATTTCTATACTATTTTACACCAAAAAAATAGCTTACATTATCTGGAGATAAATGAAAGGGTATTTTACAAGAAAAATGAAACATAACTGTCTTGTCTTGCTGCTTGTCGATGCATCTGTTGTTTTCAATTAGCTTGATGATATCCATTTTCAGGAAACAGATGCTGCCCTCCTTTACACTGGTGTAATTCTGGAATAACTCTACTGACGTCAGTGAAGTGACTCCAAATTTAACCTTGGCGACAGCAGAATTTTGATCACAATCTTTTTGTGAACTTACATGCTATGGTGCCATCACTATATGATAAGGGGAAAGGGAGTGCCTTGTTGGCTCTGACGTGCTCAGCTGTATTGTGCTGTTGATATTACAGACTTGAATCTGACTGGAGCAGAATTCAGGCTGGATGGAGTGCACAGAGTCCTCTTTTGTGTTCTAAAATGGAGCAGACATCCGAGCTGGACACTCTGTCTCTTTCCCATTCTGATTCCACGAACTGTCTCTTGCTTTGATACGATTTCCAAGGAGAAGGTTTTTAAGCTAAGGAAATGTGATCAGAAGTCTTGAAATAATATAACAAAAGGTAGCAGAGTAGCAGAGATAGACATGGAGACAAACTTGACTTCACCTTCACTTTTTGCTGTTATTGTCATCTGTGAAAATTTTTGAATCTTGGAGGCTGTCTATAGACCTGGCTGTAGAGCCTTCATTTTCAGGGGATACCAGGATTAAACATACTGGTCCATTTCTTTCCTGCTGTAACTCTGCTGATTTATTCCCTGAAACTAGACAAAAAAGCTTCACATGAAAGTCATGCAGAACAAGTGCTGTGTGGGGTGCATAAGCATTAATAGAAGAACTGTAGAGTCAAATTGAATATCACAGGATAGTTTAAAACTTTGGGAAACGTAATCATGGTCAGTGTGGGTTTTGCGTTTCTAAAACACAAGCATTCATTCATATAAAGTCAATAAAGAACAGAAGAAAGAATAATAGCAATAAGGGCTGTTGAAATAAGCAGTCTGAGACTACAGATTGATTCTTAAGAGAGTTCCCTAAAGATTAATTCTGGGACTGCTTAAACTATTACTATTGCAGTAAGCTATTAGTATTACAGTTGATCTTAAATTATCCATGATGCAATCCAAACATTACCATCAAGACTGGGAATTAGGACACAGAACTAGATGAGTTTGAATACTGGACTTAAATAAATGGGATTATATTAAACAGTTA